CCCCCCACGAGCTCGCCCCCTACGCGTGTCCCCCCGGTGGGTGCGCGGTGCGGCCCCGCATCGCTCCCCCCCCCAGCGCCAGGTTTCACCCCCCGGTGCCGCTCACCCCCGTCGCGGGTGGGTTGGACACGCAGGACGTGGAAAAACCAGCCTGGCGGGGGGGGAGATTTATCTCCCTCTGCGGCCCCAGTGTCACCCCGGGCGGGGGCTCCCCCGCGCCCCCGGCCCTCGTTGGGGCAGCAGCGCCGAGCCCACGGGTGTGGGCATCGCGGCGGGAGCGGGTCGCGGTCCTCCGGGGCTCTGCCAGCCCGCTACGCCACGCAGAGCCATTCCCCATTCCCCATCAGCGGTTCCCACCCCTCGGGATGAGGTATTCCTGCGTTTTAGCGCAGTGTTGGACTCTACGGCAGCTCCCGCCCCGGCACGCCGGACCTTTGCGGGAGCACTGCTCCTCCGGAGGTTAAAACAGCCGGTATTTGTTTCTGGAATTTTCCGAAATGTAGCCAAAACGGCCTTTGCTTTATCCCCCCCAAAATAAAACCCCTCCGACGTGACCCGGGGTAGGACCTGCCGTGAGTTCGGAGCCGGGCGTTTTGCCGCCCTTCTGCTGCTGGATCGGCTCCCTCCTCCTCCATCTGCCTTTTCCTATCCCGAAATCAAGCCGAGTTTAATAAAGTGGGGAGCGTGAGCTCAGCAGAAATCGTGGCTTTGCCATCCCTCGCTGCAGCGCGGTCCCTGCCCATCGGCAGATCAAAAAAATAATCACGTAGCGGCAGAGGAAGGAGGAGATTTGCTGCTACGGGGGGAGAACCGGCGCGGTGCCTCGCTCGGTCGATAACCAGGCGCTGTAATAAATCGCTCTGTAAACAGACTGTTAGTTGGAGAATTGGCTTTCTGGCCGCCTCGAGTGTTTTCCCGACTCTTTTCCCGACTGAGTGCTAGGACATGGCAGGGGAGCGTTGTCTTCCCGTGGAGAGGTGCGTGGACGTGGCGGTGATGGGCTGTGAATGCTTAAGCGCGACCTTACAGAACTGAGCTTATCCCTGGGCACAGCAAACTCTGTCTGGTCTGAGAGGCTGCATTAGAGCATCTTCTTTTCAGCCCCTGGTCCTGCAGTCACGCGATAGCCACAATTTCCCCCCGTGTCCTTGAGTAAACTCGCCCATATCGGTGACTTTTCTCATTTTAAAATTTTATTTCATTAAAATAAGAGGCTTTTCTACGCGTTTTTCCCCCATGAAGGCTCTCCCAAGCCTTGGCCCTCACTCCTGGCCATGATTTTTCATCCCCAAGAGCGTTTTGGAAGCCGTGGCTCCAGCTGCTGATGGCAGGGAAGGTAATTCAGCAGCTCTGGCACACGACTGATGAGCTTTTGTTTCCTGGGCTATCGGTGATGATGCTACTTTTTATTTATTTATTTATTTATTGCAATCGATGCATAAATCAGGGTGGCTTTAGAGATGTTTCCTCTGTGTTGAAAGACCCCGGGGTGCATCAGCAGCGTTTAGAAAGATGTGGAAAAAGCTTTATTTGAATTCATGTATTTAAAATGTAGCTCAATTTTGCAGAGTTATTTCATCTGTGCATCCACTGCTCCTGTTAGGAGTTATAAGCTGCATGTTTTTACCTTTTGTTTCCTCTTTATTTTGGGTGGGGAAGCTGCATTTAAGGTTTTAAGGTATCAAACATCTGATGTGACGTCTGCTGTTGCAGTATCTTCCCCAGACACTGGTACTAAAACACTCAGAGTATCAAACCTGTGGCATCCTTTGCTAGGAAAGTCTGAATGTTTTATGCCTATATTATTTTTATCTGGGATGTTCATGGTGATTTTTGGGAGCGTTGATCGGGTTTGCAGGAAAACCTCTGAGAATGTGAAGCACACAAGGTCAGGTGCTTGGGAAATGTGAAACCTGAGCTACCTATGCAACCTTAATTTAGCTCATGTCAAGGTAGGGCTGGACTTGAAATCCTCATCCCCTGCTTGATTTCTGGGAGGATGGAATCCAGGTCTGGATGGAAGAACCTCTGCTTGCCCACAAGTCCACGGGGGAGTACTGGGAGCACAGGGATGGTGCTGGTCCCTCCACTGGTTTTGCAGCTTGGCACCACCGAGCTGGCCAGGAGGACCAGGGTTCACCATCACAGCTTGGGACCTCATGTGACACGTGGTCCTGGAGCTTAAATACCTCCAGTCTGGGAAAACTAGGAGCAAACTTCCAGTGTCTGAGGTGGGCCTGCAGGGGAGCCAGAGAGAGGCTCTTCATCAGGAACTGTAGTGACAGGACAAGGGGAATGGCTTCCCACTGCCAGAGGGAAGGGATAGATGGGATATTGGGAAGGAATTCTTCCCTGTGAGGGTGGTGAGGCCCTGGCACAGGTTGCCCAGAGAAGCTGTGGCTGCCCCATCCCTGGAAGTGTCCAAGGCCAGGTTGGACAGGGCTTGGAGCAACCTGGGATAGTGGAAGGTGTCCCTGCCCGTGGCAGGGGGGTGGGACAAGATGATCTTTAATGATCTTCCAACCCAGTGCTGGGATTCTGTGATTCAAACGTGACCTGAGGGTTTCTAAAGCCATTTGGGCTGGTTGGTTTTGGCGAGCGTAGCGTGTCCGTTTTTACCCAGTTCTAGTTCTCCTTCCAAACCGTGCAACTTTTGAACTCAATTCCTTTCAAAATGCATTTATTAGGGAGCAACCAAGGTCGTTGAACTGCTTGAAGCATCTTAGCCGGTCAAACTCGATTTCAGAAATTCCTCCATCCCCTCAGTTTGTAAATAAAGTGGGGTTGTGTTCCCACTTGCACACGAAACACCGCGCTTGAAAGCACATTCACTGTGTCGTTAATGAAGCTCCAGCCTGGTCCTGGGGTCCTGCTCCCCCAGACAGGCTGGGTGCAGGTTTCAGTTTGAGGAGACTGATTTTTTTGTGCTGAGGCTAAAAGGAGCCTCTGATTCTCTCAGGCTCGGGTCCTGCATCCTGCGTGCGACGTTTGCTTCACTTCCTCTCCAGCGAACGGGATTTCTCCCTTCTCGACAAAGTAAACACGAGCATAAATATTTAAAGGATCGCGGCTTAAGTTTGCAAATTCGAGACTTTCTCCAGCATTCCTTTGGACAAAAGCAGTAGGGTCGGAGATTTGGGAAGTGTCCGGGTACTTCCCTGCTCTGGGGAGAAGCTCATAATTCTTCAGGCTTCCTGCTGCAAAAATGTTCCGCCGTGTTTTCAGGTTAGATGGGCTGGGATTATCACAAAGCTTGGGTTTCCTATGGAATTGCAAGGATGAAATGCTGCTGATGGGATGGCTGTAGATCATTGGAATTGAGATCGGTTTTTATGGAATTTTATTTTTCTTTTACACAGACCAAATTTTTCCATAGGTTTTGGGTAGACGTGTGGAGGCACAGGTGTTGAGACTATAGAAAGCAAACGTGAAACTCTTGCCAGATAATGGATAAAAACAGGAAAAAAGGGAAATGGAATAGTCATTGTTTTCTCTGTGTGACCCTTTAATATTAAATCTCGCTGTTTGGCAGGTTGAACACCATGGTGAGATGTACGTCTCACTCCTGTGATTGCATCGATGTGTCTTGTAATTAAACCTTTAAAATCAGACTCACCAAACCACTTGACCTCAGAAAATACAAAAACTCAGAAGGGAAGGCTGTGGAAGAGGGATTTTTAGAGTTGAACTCAGTTTTGTGTCTGTTTTTGAGGTGTTATCCGGAGTTACAGCTCTGCTAGACCTCGTGGTAGCACTGTTCTGTCTCGGGGGAGGATCCAGAGCAGGTGGATTTCCACAAGACTGTGGAAAAATCTTACAGGTGAAGTGAGAGCTCCATGTCTTTGCCACAAATGCTTTTTATTTCTAACAACCCCCCCATGATTTTAGTGCTCCGTCCTCTGGAGGAATGTAGGATCGCTCGGGTCAGAAGGCACTTCAGGGGGGTCACTTGGTCCAAGTCCTGCTTCCAGCAGGGTTGTCTGCAAGGTCAGACTGGGTTCCTCCTGGCTTTAGGTGTCTTGTGCTGGTTGTCTTCCACCTGTGGTTTGAGGGTTGCAGGAAGAGAAGGGAAGGGAAGTGGTTTGAGCTGTGTCAGGTCCAAGGGGAACAGGATTCTACGTGATCCACAGCAGCCCTTGCTCACGGAGCGCAGCCTCCCGCTTGCAAGGCTGTTAAACTGCCGCCTCCCGCTGCCTTTCCATGGATTCCTTAAGCTGATCCAGTCACAGGCTCCAGCTGAAAGAGGATCTGGCGTGGTTGAAGTTAATCTTGGGAGGGGAACAGGGGTAGTCCGGGTCCGTTTGCTGATAATCAGC